TCTGTCTCTGTCTGGCAAGTGCATGTGTCCTCTGGCAAATTTTTAAAAAAATGAATAATTAAAATTAACACTCAGCAAGAAAACAAGCAACCAATTAAAACTGAGCAAAAGATCTAGAGAAGTATTTCACCCAAGAAGACATATAGATAGCAAATAAACATGACAAGATGGTCACCATCATACACCATTATACAACTGCAAATTAAAGCAATAATGAAGTATTACCATCTACCTACCAGGAGTGGCTCAAACCCAAACACTGAGCATGCCAAATCACGACAAAAATGCAAGGCAACAGAAACACTCACTCACTGTTAGTATGTGCAGAAACAGTACAACCACAGGAGAAGACTGTCTGGCATGCCCTTACAAAGATAAATAAGTCTTACATAATTCATGACGCTCCTAAGTGTTAATAAGTTGAAAATGAGAAATACTGTAGTCTTTTAACCAATAGCTGCCTTCAAACCAAAAACTAGAGTCAACCAAGATGCACCTTATAATAATTGGATTAAGGGGCCAGTTGGTAGTGCAGTGGTTAAGGCCCTGGACTCCCACAGGATCGACTGCAAAATCTGGCTGAGCATGTACGTGTGCATGCTCAAAATCTAGAGAAGGGATTGTGGGGTGGCTATAACCCTTGGGGGATATGTCTCACTTTCCCACTCACCGTCTCTTTCCTCAGTGCACATGCCCTATGGTAAAAACCTACAGAAATAAAAATAACAATAAGTGGATTACAAAAAAAGCGATGGGGCTTTCAAGTGGCATGGTGGTTAAGGTACCGGACTCCCGCATGGTCACCCCAGTTCAAGTCCCGCACCTGAAGTCTTACTTTCCTACGTTCCCTTTCTCTCTCTCTGGCCAAATTAAAACGAATAATAATAATGATAATAAATGAAATAAAGTAATTCTTTAAAAAAAGTGGTAACTCTATATAATAAAATATTCAGTGATTTAATAAAATATCAAGCCTTTAACATATAGAGACCTTAAAAGCTTATTGCTAGGACCAGCAGTTAGCGTAATGGCTATGTCACTGGACTCACATGTAGTCAATAGTGGTTCGTGTCCCAGACCCGGTGGCTTAAACTCACACCAGGCGTGTGTGTGTGCATGCCCAAGATCCCGAGAGAATGGAGAAGGGATTGCACACCCCGGGGGTGTGTGTGTGTGATTTCTTGCTTTCTATCTCTGTCTTTGTCATTCTGGCGAGCCCTATAGCAAATACCTCTCACCAAAAAAAGAAAAAAAAAAAGTACTTATTGCTAGGTTGGGGCCAGAGGGTGGCATGGTGGTTAAGGGTGCAGAATTCCCCACATGGCAGACAACGGTTTGAGTCCCAGACCTGGTGGCTTGCTTTCTCACTTTTCCTTTAAAATATTTTTTTTTTTTAAAGCTTATTGCTAGGTGTAGCAGTAAGTGTAAAATGGCTACTTTGAGTGTGATTCTCAGCACATAAAGTTCTGGAAAGGGTGAAACTATACAGGCAGTCCTGGATCTGGCAGCTTCCTTTCTCACTTTCCCTTTCTCTCTCTTTTGGGACAAATTAAAAAAAATAATACTAACAAATGGAATTAAATAAATATATAACTCTTAAAAAAAAAAGAGGGTGCCAAAAATAAGTGCATGTAGGGATACATATACACAGGATGAAGAGATGATTGGGAGAACCAGCAATTGGAGTAATGGCTATGTCGCTGGACTCCCATGTAGTCGACCGCAGTTCGAGTCCCGGACCTGGTGGCTTAAAACTCACGCCGGGCGCGCGTGCGTGCGTGCCCAAGATCCCGAGGAGGAGAAGGGATTGCGGCGTGACCATTCCCCCTGGGGGGTGATTTCTCGCTTTCTGTCTCTATTTCTTTCTCTGTCTGCCTGGTGAGCGCACGCGCCCTACAGTGAAAACCTCTCAAAAAAAAAAAAAGATGATTATCTGCAGAAGCACAGCAGGTGTTTGGGGCAGTGAAGTTCTGCTGTATAATGCCATGATGGTGGATAACGCCATGACGGTGGATACATGACAAATACATTTCTCAAAACCCACAGAAGTGCAGAAGACAAAGTGTAAACCTTGAAGTAAAGTATGGACTTTATAATAAAGTATGAGCTCATCAATTTTCATCATTGGATGCCATATACTGGCTCAAAATTGTAACAAACATACAACACACATGCAAAGTTATTACAAAACAGCAAAAATGAGCTGAGGACAAGAGGTGTATCAGAAAGTTCTAAACTATCTTCTCAATTTTTCTATAAAACTAAAACTGCTTTGAAAAATAAGATCTATTAGAGCCAGCATGTGGTGTTGGGGATAAGGTGGCTGGATCCCATAATGCCAAGTGTGTGGTTATAGTCCCACACCTGGCAGTTTGGAAAGCATGCACACATATGTGTGTGCCTGTGTACTCTAGCTATCCAGAGAAGAACCGAGGAAAGAGGATCGTGAAGTGCCCCAGATACCCAGAGTATTGACTTCTGTCTCTCTCTCTCTCTGGTAAAGGCACACACCCTACAGCAAAACTTCAAGCAAACATAAAAGGAAAACTAGAGGGCCAGCAGGTGGCGTGATGGTTAGGGCACTGGACTCCCACATGGCCAACCACCATTCAAGTTCTGGACCTGGTAGCTTCCTTTCTCACCTTCCCTCTGTCTCTCTGATGAGTACAGCAGGTTAAATACTAATAAATAAATAATTCATTAAAAAATCAAACTCTGGGGCTGGCAAGTGGCCTGGTGGTTAAGAACACTGGACTCCCACATGGTGGACTGCAGTTCAAATCCCGGATCTGGTGGCTTGCCTTCTCACTTCCTCTTTCTCTGTCCCTCTTGGGTCAAATTAAAATAAATAAATAAATTAATTAAAATAAAAT